GCGCAAGAAGCGCGTTCGCGTGCGCGCGCGCGGGGGCGGCGCCACTCGGCCAGATTGCAACGGCGCGTCACGTGATGCATGGCGGCGCTTTGTTTTTCGCGGGGCGGGGCCGCCCCGCCCTCGCGGCCGCGCCCCCGTGGCCCCGCCCCCGCTCACAGAGCGCCACAGTCTAATTGCCCTGAAGTGGACGCCGCCCTCGCCGCCGCCCTCGCCCCGCCCCCGCGTCCCGGATCTGCGCCGTTGGCCTCGCGACCCGCGACCTTTGCCCGCGCGGCGCCCATTAAGAAACGGCGGACGAGTCCGTCGCTCTCACGCTCTGAACTGTCTTGAAGGTTTGGGACAAAATTTGGTGAAATACAACTTTAAAAATTAAATTGAAATAAGACATTTTTATCAGGACCTAGTTAGAGATTTTTAAGATAACACCAAAATGTTATGGACAATCTTTTTAATTTGATTACTGTTTGTCAATGAAGTTTTTTCCACTTTCTTTGAACTATCAGTAAAACGTTAGTATTTTTTAAAAAGAGGAAAACGTTTTTATGCCGTCTGGTATGACGCAATGTTATGGTTCTGAAAATCAAATATTTGTGAGTCTTCTAAATATATATTCAACCCGGAATATTTCAATGAGAGATACTGTTTAATGTTTTGGGACTATTGATTATTCATCCCTCTCAAACGTTACTTAACGAAACCATAAAATATGAACTGACGAGAGATTTATTGGACACAAATCAAAATGAGAAACTTCTATGTTTATTCAGTGAACAGAAATCGTCTTTGTCGTTAATGATTAGTAGAATATTTTGAAAAGTGTCTCAAGAGAATAGAGGAAGGTACGGTTAATAGAAATATTCACTTTTTAGTTTGCTAACTTTGATAATTATTTATCATTTCATGAGTAATTTATAAATATAGTTTACGTGATGAGGGAAAAGATAAGATGTCAGTAAAGTACTTGTTAAGTCATCTGAATACCAAGCTTAAAAATAAACCCTAATTTTTATTCACATGAAAAAATAATCATATTCCACAGGCACAATGAATAATCAGCCATAATGAATAATAATATTTCACTAAGAAATTTGTTGATGTTATTTTGCATGCAAATGTCCGAAATACGACATATTAATGAAAACAATCTGCATGAGGTGAATTGCAGAACTAAAATCGGGGAAAATATTTAAACATCAAGAATTCCAAGCTTTACGATTTGCGATTCCTGACTTGTGGATGAAAATGAAGAGCGCTGAGCTCACCTGATCAGATGCATTTGCTCAGATCCAGGAGACACGGACATGCGTAGCCAACCCTGTAATTGAAAGAAAATGGTTATCTAGAAAGTACAATAAAGCACATTTTCGGAAAGGAAATTCACTTGCACAAGTAAGAAAAGTACTCTCGTTCTTTAACAGTGTACAAATATTACAGTATTAAATATAGTAAAACATTTGTATAGTGCGTTTTTCAACAAAAACAAGTAGTCAATAAAATTTAGTAGTCCTAATATTATACCCAATGTAACAAGTGATGAACAGCAATTTTTAAATGTGAACTTGCCTTACGATTGGAATCATCAAATTGAACACACACACAATATATTATATTTTCGTACTTCTGTTACCACAATGAAAAACTACATAGTCTATCGTCGTTACATACACTATAAATGAAAACGATAATGTGATATTTCAAATGTAATAAAAGTTTTCCCTTATTCCTAATAAATGCAAATTTCTTTTCATTCTTAATGTATTTGATAATTCTATTGGGGGAAGATAGAGTCTGCCGTTGTAGAATTGTGTTCTTGTTCAAAATTAATTCTTTTTACTTTTCCCTCTTTATGCTCTCCAGCATGCTTAATAGTTTCACACGCAGACACATGTGCAAGACTTCTCACGTCATACAAATAAATTATCTTTCTAACAAACTCAGTAACCACGGAATTCCAGTCATGGCCCTCCCGATTACAATTCGCAACAATCGACATAGTTCATCAAAACCAATTGCCATGAATAATTTAGTAATTCGAGCTGAAATATTAAATGTACTATATTCTAAAGTGCACAAGTGTACTCAAACTCAAAACCAGACGAGGATTCAGTAAATGTGTCCGAAAGTCGTTACAATACTTTTGTATTCACGTAAACACACGTAAGATTAGGAGATGCTATTTTACACAAAAGGGATGCTTCAAAGTTTTTTTCCATTGTAGAATATTTTAATTAATTTTTAACTATTATAACACGACCACCTCAGGAAACAATATTGTACGGATTTTATTAACTGAACACTAATTTTTCATTATACTGCACTACAACCTACCGATGAAAATAGAAAAGTGACACCTGTTATTAGCAAAGAAGTTGCAAAATATTACTAGAATAATTCAACTTAACATTTTAGACATTCTGCTATATATAGAGAATTTTAAAATAATATTAAGCAGCTCAAAAAATACGAAATGTCAAACACATTGCAATGCATCCACAAATTTACCCAACAACGTTAATGAGATTCAGACTATGAATTTTTTAATTTTCCTCAGGCGCATAATGAGAATATTATTGTATTAGGCATTAGAGACTTGGTATTTTTTTAATGTAAAATTCTTACGTAATGAAACATGAAGTGCTTGCATGGTATTTTAATTGCAAATTAAAACAGATTTCTCACAAAAGAATATTTTCAAGTGGAGTAATTCTGTGCGTCTCTTTTTTCTGAAAAAAAAAGTATGAGTTAGAAATAGAATCCTTTTTTAACTCGCATGCTTAAAAATAAGATTTTTGAAGGGTTTCTTAGCGTCCGTCCCACCTCCCATAACCCGTTACAATCAAAAACGTGTTTTTTGAATTTTAATTTTTTTTCAACTTACCTCAATTTTATATAATTGAAAATATGAAAAATAAGAAAATAATTTATAATCAAATAAACATATTTTAATATTTTCTCATCACCAATTACAAATGAAAAAAATTTTTGAAAAAAAATAGTGCGTCTCATAATCTTTGATTCGGCTCACAAAACCCTTAACATTTCCTCTCCAAACACAAATTGTACTTTTTTCAGATCTATTCGACTGATGGGTTATAGTAAAAAAGTATACACAAATTTTACCATTTTACCGCCTTTAAATCACTTTGACTTTAAAAACATTTTGAAAATGACTGCAAAAGTTCTGTACAATTACGTATTTGAGGATTTATGGTACATGTGTATACATTGATAAAGCACTCACTAATATATTGACTTTATAGTGTAGTTACAAATTTTATTGTTTTTGAAGCTTTATAAGCAAAGTTACCATACGCTAAGGAAAGTTGTTATTCTATTGTAGGTTTCTTTACTTTAAATGTGGTAAATTAAAAGGTGCTGTCTGTTATCAAAAATTTATTTTGCTAAAGATCGTTTCGATCGCGCAGCGATCTTCCTCAGAGCAAAAATTTGAATTATCGAAATAAAATTACATTTTTACATGAAATATAAAAAAGTAGGTATAATTTATTACGAAATATTACATACAAAATGTAAACATTGTATTCTAGATGCGTAAGCAAACTGGGTTGTACACACCCTGCTGCATCCAGTCCGAGAACAAAGTACTGCAGTTTTTAGAGTCAGAGAGTTTCTTTACCTTAATAAAACAGTCTGAGGTTTGTTTATAACAATTTATTTCATGTTTATAATTATCCTTTGTTTGGGATCTTTTTCAAAAAAATCAATCCAGTGTCCAGGTTAGTTGACATCATAAATAAATAGTATGCATTTTGATACAAAATTGCCATTGACATAAAAAGTGAGCGAGTCATCATCTCCATCCCCTCAATTGACGCTGTCTTTTCACAAACCAAATTCACAAGCTCCGCGTTCAATATCATGCAAACATCTCCATTTTGACAATTTCTGAGTTGTCTGGTTGGCTGAAAGCAGACATGTGGCCATCCCCAGAAGCAAATGTATTAAAATCATGAAATTGTGCGTCTTTGGAACAGTAAAACGTGGTGTCTTCTATGTAGAAAGATTTCCCAGTAGAAATAGACCATTCATAATAAACCGAATTTCGTTATTGCCCACTTTTACTTTCTTCCCCTGTGCACCAGCTAGACCTATCCACTTGGGTACATACGTGCCAATACCAATTTTCTTCACAGAGGGTTTTCTAAGAAATATATTTTTCTTCCAACTATGTAATTCTAGATAAAATTCTGATTTTGAAGTCTTGATCCATATTGTCATAATCGTTCAGTATGTGATAGTTGTTATTTTTTGGCAGTGTGCGAGAGCGCACATGCTCTAACCTCTTTAGTTTGTGAACATTCATATGTATGTTCTCAATTTTTACTTCATGAATGAAGTCTAAATGTTCTTGCTACTTGATGAATGATGTCTACATGGTACGAAATGATATTAAGAACAATAACACTATACATGATTTGTATGCAAAATATATGCAAAAACGATAAAATGAAGTCCACATTACATTTCAATCTTGAATAACGTGTTCTAAAACTCAGAAAACGTTATAAAAACAATTATTATAAAAAAGTATTATAAAAAACAATTCTATAAACCACAAAAAGAGGAACAGCATGTTCTTTTTCTTTAAAGCTCCCTATGCACTATTTCCTTAGGAAACATACGCAGCTCCTCCCTTCTTTGTGAAGTAGTACCTAAGAGCCACCGCTCATTTCTGTGGATGCGAGGGCGGCGGGGAGAGCAGTGCTGACCGCCCGCCCCTTAAGTCTTCGCTCGGGCGAATTCGTAATCTTCGAAAGTGCTGGTTTTCCGAAAGGAACCCTCCCCCGCACCGGCTCTAACAGTCGGAGGGGGCCAAAGACAAAGAAATATTGGTGAGGACTTGTAAGCCCTACAGCAGCTTCAATCTTGAAAATCTTAAACTTTATTCATTGCGTATTTTTAACACTGTCTTTTAGGATTAAACTCGAAATATTTATTATTTCCATTATAAAAATTGCAGAATATATTGTAATACTTAATTTGAACATATTTTTACGTACTAATGAGCACTAGGGCCCGTACTTAAAAGAAAGTGTTAGGACTTTTGATGCGATAAATAATTCATATTTTACTGAAGTTGATTAAGGTTTTAGTGAGCGTAACTAATGAACTATCTTAAACGTATTAAACTTTGAGGCGAGATTCTAAGAACGAGTAAAGTCAATTTTTCTGAAGAAACATGAGACAACAAAATATTTGTAATTGTCATCAAAAATTACTTTTGCTCTGTATTAATATAAGCACGACCCATGGCCAGTCTCTATGATATATACTATTTCAGGTGTGAAACGGAAATCAAGAAACAAATGAGTCATGTGACTTCTAGACATTGTAGTCATGTCGTACAAATTAAATTTGTGGTAAACAAAACGAAATGTTTGTCACAGAGAACAGTAACCTCATTTAGATAATCATCTTGCGATAAAATACCAATTTAACTCTCTCAATTCTCCTTTGAAGCCCTTCTTTTCAACTCGATTTCATATCGGAGCACTGGAACCAAAGTAAATATGTTTAATAAGTTTTAATAAAAAGACAGTGAAATTCCAGTATGACGAAAAGTCAAAAAGGAATATACTAACAACCGAACCTAAAACACCTTTGAGATTGCCACAGATCTTATGCTGCCCGATATCTTTCTGAAACGTCAAAACCACACCTCAGTTATGCGTACAATGAACTATGTAATGAATAGTTCCAACTTCTGTGCACAGTCATAAGATGTTAGGAGTTTAAAAAGAGCTGCTCCCAAAATCCCGAGTCGCTGTCCCCACCGACAACCTGGGCTACGCCACCGTGGTAAAGCGTAAGTCCAGTAGCGTCGTTACGCATATCTCTGCTTACTTTTACCGAGATAATGACCGTGCTAATGCTGAAACTTCCTGCAATTTCCCCGGCCGGGGGTTTTTAGAAACCATTCCCACGTGGTATCGAGCAGCCCTTCCCTCCCCCCTCCCGCCGTGGTGCTCGGCAGGAAGGGGCTCTGCCGCCCGGGGGCCCTTCGCAATCGCCCGCAAGCACGGCGGGGGCAGCGTCGCGCCTGTCGCTGGGACACTTGCAGCTGCGCGGCGGCCGCTTCGAGGCGAGGAGGCAGGAGGAAGGGGAGTGGAGGGGAAGGGAAAGGGGGAGTGGGGGGGCGTTGCGCCGTGCCGGAAGTAGCGGTGAGGTGGTTGGGGGCGGCGCTGAGACAGAAGAGGGAGAGGCGATGAATGAGGGCGGCGACGAAGCTTTTGAAAAGATGAACGAACATTTGGGTGTGTGCCTGACAGGTGAGGGACAGAGAGAGAGAGAGAG